TTGACCCTTTTGAACCCCTCTAAAAAGTTGGTTTTTCTCTCTCCTGGTTCACATTTTCTGGGTTTTGACCACATATTTGTGTTGTGCACACATGTGAGGCCACCTTTTTGGGGTGGCCGGCCAGCAATTTTGATTGACCCTTTTGACCCCTGGTCGGCCGGCCAGGGGGGGTGGCCGGCCGGCCACCTGAACCTTTTGAACCTGGCCGGCCATGATCCTCTCTCCAAGTGTGTTCCAATTGTGCAATTTGTTTCCCCCCAGATCTTGTATCCGAGGGGCTGCCTTTTGGGGGGGAAATTTGAATTTGTTTTTCCCCCCCTTTCCTTGGCCTCTCTCCCTCTTTAAAACCAGTACTCTCCTCCATTTCTAAGGGTTAGAAAACCAGCTGGAGCATACACCCTTCCCTCCTCCATTGCTCTCCATTTTCAAGCTCCAAACACCCATTGTTCTTGGCCATTTACACACCAACCCATAGCACAAGGCCTCCATCCTCCATTCCAGCATTTTGGGACTGTTTTGAAGAGGTTGAGAGCTCAGAAATTTGGTCCAAGAGCTGCTGAAGTTTGGTCTTCAAGGGTAAGTCTTCTTCTCCTCTTTTCTTGCCTTATTTTTCTCTATATCTTAGCCTTTGTTACTTACATTTTTGAGCTTCTACCTGAACTGTAAATAGTCATATTTTGAGCTACTTTTCATATTTGATCAAGGACCTCTTGCTGTTTGAGGTCTCCTACTGCCACTTGCCACTTTATCTCTCTTTTAGGCCTTTTTTTGCATGGTATTTTCGCCTTATTTGTGAGTTGTTTTGGACTTTTCCATAAACTATAAAATGTCTTTTTTTGAGTCCCTCTTCAACTTTGTTGAAGGGCTCTCCTCTGTTTGAGGCCAGCTTCTACCACTTGTCTCATTATCCCTCTCTTAGGCCTTTTTCTTGTATGTTGTTTTAGCCTCACTTGTGTTTATTTTAGAGACTTGATATAAACTGTAAAGTGCCTTGTTTTAAGCCCTTCTTCAACTTTGTTGAATGGATCTTTCCTATTTGGGGCCAGTTGCTGTCCCTTGTCTCTAATCTCTCTTTTAGGGCCATTTTTGCATAATAGATTAGCCCTATTTGTGTTCACTTTTGAGATTTGTTATAAACTGGAAAAAGTCTCCTTTTGACATCATCTTCATGTTTTATTAGGGTATTTTCTTGTTTGAGGTCATATGCTTCCTTGTATGCTTGATTGTCCCTTATTTCGAGCCTTACACCTAAGCTCTTGTTGCATGCTTGGTTTGGCCTTCTAGCCACTGAAATCCAGTGGAATTTCAGTGGCTAGCACACTATTTTGAGCCTCCAAATCAGAGGGGGGTGACCCCCTCTCATCTTGACTTGTTTGGTGGTCATTTTTGGCCTTCCAAAGAGACCCTATCTTGCATGCTTTGAAGTCACTTTCCAGGGTCAATTTGGTGAGTTCTAAGACTACCATATTTGATTTTGTTAGTTTCTTATGCCATGCTAAGTGTCCACCTTGTATGTGCTTAATAATCCGTGGCATGGCCCTCTAAAGGAGCTCATCATTTTTGCATGTATTGGTTGCATGTCCATGGTTATTTGGGCATATTTTCACATGTTTTATTCACTGATTTTTGCTGGTTTGGTAACATTCCAAGTGCATCCTATACTTTCCATATAACTCAAGTTTTCCAGTCAAAGTTGCATGCTACTTTAGTCTATCTTGCTAGCTTCTTTTGGCCATGCTTTGAACTGGAAATGTTCATGTTTTAGGACCGCCTTGGCTCTGTCTTTAGACTTCATGCTTTAGACTTCACGGGAAACGAGGGACGTTTCGTACTCCGAGTGACGGAACGTGTCTCAATTCCCGGTTGCCGACACTCCGGATTATCCATGATGGAGTCTAGGCCTTGTTGTGTCCATATGTGCATTCATTTCATATTGAGTCATGCAATTCGACTTCTCGGCCATCATGCATCGAGATGCGTGATTGGTGGCACGAAGATCGAGGACTACACTCCTAGAAGAGTAGTCATGCATACATATGTGAAACTACTTTGCCATGCCCCTTTGTTGCTCTCTGTTGCAGCAAATCAGAAATCAGCAGCCTTCCGGAGCTTGGCACGTATTCCAAGAAAAATTGCAAACAGAGGCAAACCAAAGCATCGCAAGGGATTTCCGCGCAAGGCAAATTCAAGCATGCATCATTCATCATCCGGAACAGAGCTGAGGCGGTCCACGGATTTACGTGCAATTTATTGCTTTCCTAGATTAATGTGTTACTTAATTAGGATTTTGTATTTATTCGGGACTGTATTATTTATTCATTTGGGACTGTATTATTTATTCGGACCCTCCGAGCGAAGGCATAACTGTAATAAGTGTGCGTGTGTGTGATGTTTGTCTTCCAACCCCATGTCTTTCTCCCTTTTATTTACTCGCTTATGACGGTTAGATTAGGGCATATTTCAATTAGCACACAGTATGATAGCATGTTTGCATTCATTCATCTGTCTTACATGCACCGGGCTCGGCACATCATACTAACTGCATTTGTATCTCAATTCCAAGTTGAATACATGTTAGTTGTAGCATTTCACATGCCATCTTTAGAATAGCCGAGCCTATCTTAGTTGCATTTTGCATGTGTTGCATTAGGCATTTCAGTATAGTTAGGATCATGCATGGATTCTTAACATAGCTTTTGTTTTGGCTTGGAGTACTCGGTAAGTGTTTATGCTTTATCATCCTTGCATGTGTGTGAGTGACTGCCATGATAGCATGCTTACCATGAAGCTATATGCTTATGTGATATAAACTGCCTGAATGCCTGTGGGTGAAGGTTGGATTATTTGAATTGGAATAAATGCATTGACTGTGAGTTTTAAGCCCACTAGATAGTGGCAAAATCATGTTTTTCTAAGCCCACCCGAGGGTGGCAAATCCACGTCTTAGCCTACTTGCGGGTAGCACCATCAAACCATTTTCAAAAATAAACATGAAATGTTTTGTTCCAATTCAGACGATCCAGTCTATACTTGTATGATGTGCGCATCACATAGTAAATCTTGGCTAATAACCAGAATAAGAATGCATAAAGATTCCAAAACTAGATATCATGGTTAGTAGAGGCCGATCTTTGATCGGGCGAGCGGGGGTGCTCACGAAGTGACCTTCCCCAATCATACCCAAGTTCCCGAGCCGAGGCAACTTTGGTGATGACGGACACGTGGCCTTAGGCAACGAGTCAGGGTTTCCTAAATTTTCCAAAAATAAAATATTTAGGTGGCGACTCTGTATCTGGCAAAGCAATCCATGTTTGGCACTTCTTTCAAAAAAATCTGTTTTCTCAAAACGATTTGCCGGATTTGGACTCTTTGGTTCAGATTAAGAACCGTGACAATTTGAGAGTCTTAACATGTAGTGAACCCAAATGAACAGAACGGACCTCATCCTCTCGGGGCGTTCGGGGACGTCTACACTAAGGTACCAAAGTCAAAGACATATCTCATAATTTTAGCAATTTGTCCGATTTACTACATTACAGATATAGCTCCTAAGGGTGGCCGGCCATAATCACCTAGTTTTGAGGGAGTTTTCTTGATTTTTTGGATGTACAAATTGTATATTTTGTCAAGATATTTATGTACAAACTTACTTGTTTAAAAAAAATTTGTAAAAGTATGTGTATATATATATCTATAATGGTACTAACTTGGGGTCAATTTGTAATTCAAGTAAAATGTAACGAATAAGTTCTTAATTTATGAATTTGAACATTTATTTAAGTATAGTATTTAATTAAATTAGGATTTGGGAATTCAGTTAGGTTAAAATTTCTTCATATCGAATTAAATGACGATTCGTAATGACAACCGGAAACCTGAGGTTTTGAGCAATAAATCTATGATTAGGGAGTTAATTAATTATAATTAGGGCTTTGGAAATGATTCTTGAGTTTCCAGGTTCACTTAAGGTTTGGGAGTTTTCAATTGGTGTGCTTTTTTTGTTCTAGGGTTTAAATTGCAAGTAAGTAAGGAATGGAGGGCTTTAATTGAAATAGTCTAGAGATAAGGGACTTGAATCGAAATACAGAAGTTAGGGGTCTTGCACCACTTGATTATCTTGCTATGTACCTTGTTCGATCGTCATGCAACCAACTTAGTTGTGTAGTGTGGTAGCTTGGATTTTCCCTTCTACGTTGATCTTTCTTGATTTTTATAGTAAAATTATCATATAAAACTAGGGATTGAATTAAGAGAAGCTTAGATTTTTTCAATTAGGAAACATTTCATTCTATGTATGTTTTTCCTTTACCAAACAGAAAAATTGAATTCAAACAACTTTTAGAAATTATCATCATAAACCAAACCAAACCAAGCCTTAAGTCTCATCAAATGGTGTTGGGTACATGAATCCTTCTTCTCCACTCGACTCTATCCAATGTCATTTCGTTAGTCAAATTAAGGAGATTCATATATTTATTTACTGCACTAGTCCACGTCAATCTAGGTCTACCCCTTCCCTTAACACTACCATCTACCATCACTGTATTACATCTCTTCACTACTACATCTGTTGGTCTCTGTTGTATATGAACAAACCATCTCAATCTATTCTCTCTCAACTTATCTTCTATCGATACTACTCCTACCCATTCTCGAATATACTCATTTCTAACTCTGTCTTTTCTAGTCTTGTCAAACATCAACATTAGCATCCTCATCTCAGCAACACTAATCTTATCTACATGTTGTTTTTTAGTTACTTAACATTCCGTTCCATACAACATTGCTGGTCTAATAGTCGTTCTATAAAAATAAAAATTTCCTCAATGTTGATATTTAAATATCATAATGAATCTAATTAATTTCTTACATAGCTCCACACAAGCCCATTTTATAGAATGAGACAACAAGGTGACAAATAAGCAGCTTATTTATTAATATACTACTTAAGAAAATTTTATTTATGATAATGGCAACATAAGATTAGCTTAGGAATAGAATTAGAGCTGAGCCAAACTACGAATATCAATTGGAGAAGCATCAAATGCAGTTTGAGCATTGTATGCTCTTCCAGCCACAAACACATTTACAATCTCTGTTGGATGATACGCATCCCAAAATGCGTACGTGCTTCTATTGCTACATGGAGCTTTATTGGAAACACATAGTCGCGTAATTGATGATACGTTGCAACATGGAACATTTAGAACCGTAAGGCCTGAAATGAATAAATCACTATAATATATATTCTACAATCATATAATTTTATGGACAAGTTACATACATAGTTCCATAGTTTGTTTCTTATGTCAATTTTGTCATTCTAGTTTTAATTACAACATGTCAATTTAATCCAATTAATAATGCTCCATAAGAAATTAGATTGAAATCAAATACAGAAAGGTTCATTGATTCTCCTCAAAATGATTGAGGGGTTCACGTCCAATTTCAAATGGTCTATTTACTTTTAAATAAACCATTTCGTCTATGATTTCCATCCAATTTCTTAACGAATATTATCAATCAGATAAACTTTACACAATGTAAAGAAAATTAAAAAAACGAAAATGGTACAATTAAAACTATGAAAACAAAATTAACAATGGAAGAGAATTACATAGAACACGGATATAGACCATACTATGTAATTTTCCCTAATTTCATTTCACATCTTTTAGTAGTTAGAAAGTTTTACTTACCAGGAAATGCCTTCCCTGATGTAATTGAAGTAATATTTATATAGATAAATTTCACACCAGCCAATTCTTTGTTGAGATCATCAACAAGTGACTTCAGCTTGACATTGAAAATTTCAACAGCACTGTTAATCTTGTCCACACATGCAAATCCATTTGTGCCATATACAGCTATTTCAGCTGGAGTGCAACCTATTTGACCAAGTCCGAAGATGGCTATTTTATTTGCTCCGTATTCATACAAAGTCTGTAATTATAAAAAGTAGAAATTATATGGAATCAATCAAAAATATTTATGTAAGTATTGATACAAAATGATGACAAAAAAAGTCGATGACGCGTGATATTTTTCTGAAGAGAAGAATGTAAAAATTATAATACCAACCTTTAATTGTTTAGAGTATTGTTGAACTAGGACTGTGGCGTACTGTTCTCCGGTATATTGGCTACTTGTTGGGTAATATTGTGGTTGAAAGTAATTGTTAATGTAATCATTATTGCCCATTCCAACTGAATATATGCACTTGCTTAGGTGATTTGTAGCTGCTTCTTTGCTTCCTAGTAGCATGGCAATGCGTGATATTACGATTTGATGATTTAGTAGTTGCTTATACATGCTGACCCGAAAACCCTAATAAGAAACGAAAAATAAATAAAATAAAATAAAATTAGAAAAATAAAACTTATTACAAGATGTATTTTACTATTTTATTTTATTTTTGTATGCATATTTAATATCTAGATAAATTGTAAACGTACATATAAGATCCATAACAACAACAACAACAACAACAACAATAATAACAGGACCTACCATAATACAAGAAATCAAATAAGAAGTGAAGAGTTAAGTGAAATTTTCCAATTATTTATGGCAATGCTTAGATAAATTATTGTTTCTACATGGAAAATAATAATCAACACCAAATTGATTTTATCAGTTTATTTGCCTTCTTGCCTATATTCATATAGTAAGGACCATATGTGTAGATTAAAACTCAGTTTTCTTAGTCATAAATTTGGGCATCACATCATGATATTCAAGCATAATCGGGTTTGAATACCTAGAGTCATGGGAAGTGATATAACTCCTTGTTTATTCAGGTTGGCATATAAATTAATACTTAAGTTATTTGCATGCCAATTAGTTTTGAGTTGGATGCTTTAACATGATATCAAAGCTGGGTCTTAAGTGGCCTCTTAAATCATGTGGTACAAATAGTCCATCTCTCAATTGGACCTCTTAATCACCTCCACGTGCTATCGGGCAACACATGAGAGGGAGTGCTAGACTTAAAACCCACATTGCAAATATAACCCACTCAAGCTTAGTTAATATAATGCAAGAGCCTCTCCATTTATAGCCAATTGGTTTTGAGTTGGATGCTTTAACAAGTGCATGCAAAATTGTGGTACTATTATTGAATTATATATGCCTACATTCTAAAGTGTTAAAATGGTCAATTGTTTCTATGATAGAATGAGTAATTGAGTGTTGAGAATTAGTATGCATAAGTGACGTGATTTATAATTAGGAACTTAGTATTTCATTAATCATCAGATGATGTGTGGTCAACCCTGAAGTTTAAACCAAAGGGCAACTACCAAGCATGCTTTGTAGTAAATATCAAATGTTCTCTGACCGCCATCCATAGCATTTTAATGAAAACACACTATTCTTATTGTGCAATTTTTATTAATTATTTATTATTATTATTATTATTTGGTATTTATTATGCTGCCATATGAGTAGCCTGGTAGTATGGAAGGCTAAGGTAGGGGTGAGACAGGGGGCGTGGATATGGTTGAATGGCATATGTTGTTACTTATACTATTACGACTATAGTTTCACTAGTTTAGTAGGCTGTCAAAGAGCAGGAGCATGAGAAGGTTGAGATTGTCAAGCTGGTAGCTAAAGTCCACCCAATGCCTCTAGTTATATCGGGCACTATGTATCATATAACTCTTTAGCATATTTTTTTAGGATAGCTCAAGCAGCACTTGTAGTTGTAGCATTAATACCAACTATACTTGTACCAACTATACCAATTCCAGCTATTAAGGTATAGCAACAATAATTATGAGACAATTATGGATGCCCTTTAATGTTTCCAGCGAGTTAGGCCGCCATATTTTGCAGGAGAAGCAGGCCCTAGGTTGGCAGAGGATTGGTTAGTTAGAATCACTTGAAACCTGGACAACTTAACCATCGTGGATTCCCGTGTCTGCATTTCTTTAACCGGTTTTTACCTAGAATAGGATGCTTATCAGTGGTAAACGACCATCACTTGTACTTATGTAGTGGAGGGCATGTCTTGGATAGATTTCACTACCTTGTTTTTAGAATAGTTTTTTCTTTGCATTTCTAGGGACCAACAGATGGATGCCTTGTTGCACATTCATTTAGATGACTTGCTGGTGTACAAGTCTAAGACATGTTTTGCAAATTTGAGTTGTTTTGTACCAGCGTTAGCCTTTTCTAGCACAGAGCATATCCATTTGTTTGCTAAGGGGATCAGTGCAAACTATAAGAAGTCTATGGCACCCAATGAGTATACAAGCAACCGAAAAGTGATAAATGGTGCAACTCAATCTTAGCAGAATACACTAAAGAGTAATCTCATTGTGGGCCAGAAGCATCTATCCATTTTTCCCTATTTAGTGCAAAGAGACAGCGAGATAATGCACATGGCAGTTAGACTACTCAACTATCTAGGCCTATGTTGTCTTGTACTAATTTTGGCAGATTTACTCCATTGGGGGCAATGTGCTATCAGTGTAGATAGCCGAGGCACCAATAGGTTAATTCTCCATGACTTTACCAATTGGTGACCATGTCAAGCATGCCAAATGAGGGTTAAGGAGATTATTACAAATGTACCCAATTTGACCACCCTTGGCATTTTTGGCCATTAAGACAGAGCAATATGGGGGTGCTTAGCTCCTAAGAACCAAGACCACTTTAGTTTCCTAATCAAAGTTGTCTCGGCTATAGATTCTAGGCTAAGCTTGCATTTGCAAGGTTCTAAGGTTACTCCAACGATATCTGTGTAGTCTATTTATCAACCTAGATAGAAAGGCCAACCAAGTTAGCAAAAAGGTATCAACTAGGCTGCCAATGGTAGCCAAAGGGAGGCCACCAGAGTATTGTCTATGATGTGATTTCCACCGTTCTTCGCAACTAGCTAATGCATCAGTTGGAGAATTTTTTATCTGAGGTCACTTTCTAGTTTTCCACACTCGTGCTATAATTCTCTTTGATATTTGAGTATAACATTCTTTCACATCTCATGCTTTTGTGCATACTTTGATTTTAGATATAGGCAAATTACATCTTGCCTTAATTGTAGAAACACCCGTTGCAAGATAGTGAGTTGTCTTCAAATCAAGATCACACCATGTAGAACTTGTCTAGCTTTCTCTTGAGGCATGATTTATCTTGCATATTATTGTACAAATTGAATAAGTAACATGTGTTATTTTGTGGTATAATTCACAAAATCAAATATTTCCATTGATTTAAAGTTATGCAATATCTCCAGGTTGCTCCAGGCTCTATTGGAACTGAGCGTACCTTGGGACACGCACAACAAATGGCTTCAGAAGTTGGCATGCCTAATGAGGGGACTTCGTAAACTACCTAACTTTGAAACCATTACAAAAGGGTGAAACCACAGAAGTAGGTAACCTTGGCTCTACACATTTATAGAGCTAACCCCTGTGTAGTGCCTGGCAGAGCTAAGGGGGCTTCGGGAGGATTCCTTAAGTCTAGAAAAAGATTGATTTTTGTGGAGAGTTATGTCAAATTTATATCTTATAAACTCTTTCTACACTCGAGATCCTATATTGCTTGTATTAGACAAACAAGACTCGAAACCCTAGATTTTGTTATTATCTAATTTAATTGAATTTCAAGCACTTGTTAATTGTTCTCAAGCATGTGATCTTTGAATGTGATTGTTGACTTGGTAAAATTTACTTTGAGATGGAAGTTTTATCGAGGATTAATAATTAAAAAAAATGGTTAATTTTACTTCGAATCATTCTTTGTTGAGAAGTTGGAATCATTTTGGAAACTATATATATTGAATTACTTTGTAGTTTATTGTGAATTCGAGTTGAGAATTAAGTTGGCTTGCGGTCTTTGGTGCAAGTCTAGAAACTCGAGTAGAGTAGGTACCGATTTCTTTCCGGTTAGCAGTCGGTAAAGTGAGGTTGTGTAGGTACCAATTTCGTTCCGCTTAGCTACTGGTAAAGTAAGGGTTATTTAGATGATTTTTGTGATAAACACTAGTAGTCTAGCAGATACAGACTTAGAGATTCACTCGTTTAAAATGACATTTTGAATTATAATTTCAAAAAACTTATTGAATGGAATTGAAAAAATCGAGAGTATTACTTTGATATAAATTGTCAATACTTATACTTATGAAATTGAGTAACTTGTGGGAAAAATTTATTGAACTTGAATTTGTCAAAAATTATATATTACTGCTTCATGATCATGTTCATTATTCCTTTTATACATCTTAAGTATAGATATCTTCAATTGGCCCTCGTATTCACTCCTATTATTGAAACCATTTTGAGGTGCTAATGATGGGTCTCAAGCCCATGGATGAGTTGACGATGAGCATGATGGCTATTTATTTGTATTTTTGGTATATGGCACGACCTTTTATTTGTTAGGCTAGGGCCTTTTTGATGTAAAGAAAGAATGCTCTCTATACTTGATAAATGCCTCAGAAGCTTTTACTTTTTTAAATTTTATTATTTTATGATGCTTTAAACATGAGATATTATGCCCTATAAATATTATACATATCAATCTGTCAATGGAATAGAGTTGCATGTTTTGCATTTCATTTTCAAAGAATGAGACTTTGGTTTATCTATTTATCCGTATTTGTATTAAGATTGGTTATTTGGGTCTTACCACTTAGATTCGAGTTTTATAAATCAAATAAAAAAACAAGTAGTTGTGACAAGTATTGCCAGTCTAGTAGTTCAAGAGTGGAAGGTACTCGATGAGATTTTCATGTTTGATTTTCACCTTTGCAAGACACTTGCATCTACTACACTTTTCACCGTTATCACTCAGTCGATACTCTTTAGTTGAATGGTAAAGTCCCATAAGTCAGATTATGAGGCTTATACTTAAAGAGATTGCTTTGTCAACGACCCTAAGGTAAAGGAGAATTGCTGGGCCTTGCATCCAAATTTTGACTTGATGTTTCGAAAACGAGTCTTCGTACTTAAGTCTATGTAGGAGGATATGATTTATGAATTCCATCATTATCGATTCGTAGTACATCCAAGGCGTACAAAGATGTACCATGATTTGTGCCGACAGCTCTCTGGGTGAGCCTAGAAAGGGATGTTGCCTAATTTGTTTTAAGTTGTGTGACTGGTTAGCAGGTTAAGGTCGAGTATGAACATCAACAAGGGAGTATACCAAGGACGCAGAAGAAGAACATTGTGATTTGGGTTATTGTTGACAAACTAACCAAGTCTGCTCCCTTTTTACCAATTTGAATGGAGTATCATGCGGATGTCCTTGGAGAGAAGTATGAAAAGGAGATTGTTCAGTATCGGTGACCATTGTGCATAACCAATTCACTTTGAGGTTTT